ATGGGGATATTTTTGGTTTCTGATGGTTCTTTATTTCAGATTAGTTTAGTTTCTGATGACTCTATCTATTTATTTGCTTATATGATATGTTTCAGCCTAAACTTGTATGGTCTACATTAGCAATAAATATTTGTATAGACTATTTCCACTTTGAGGTCATTAAAAAATTTATGAGTCCTGTAAGTTCTATAATCTACATAATCTAAAAAGGATTTATATTAATTTATAAGTGTTATTTTTACTTTATGAAGTTTTTTATTTAAAAGGGATTGTGTATTCTAACCTTAAAGTGAGAGTTTGAATAAGGAGTCTTTCTAATATAATCACCCAAACTAGAAGCCTTATTACCTAGCTTTTAAAGTCTCAGTTACATTCACAAATAAAAATGGCTAAAGGGGTTTGCCCTAACACAAACCTCTCTTAACCTCCAAATTCTTAGTTGGACTCCTGTTGACAAGAATTGACATATGCCACACAAAAATGCAAGCATTAATACCTAACTTTCTAAATTCCATTTTGATCATCAAAGCCCTAAGAAAATTCCAATTAACGCTATCATAGATTTTTTCAAAATCTACTTTGAACATCCTTCTTGTCCCTTGTAGCAATGAAAATCAACTCATTTGCTAATTCAACACTATCTAATAACAATCAACCTAGAACGAATGTTTATGCGAAAACAAACCACCAAGCAAGCATTTTCACAAGAATTTTGTACATTCTACCAACTAGATAAATATGCCTATATTTACTAAGATCAAGGGCATTAGCAAATGTATTTGTAGGCCTCAGACCTAGAATGCACCAAATCCTTCACATCTTTGCTACCGACAGATATAAGAGCTTGATCCAGATCATTGATAGCAACCACATTTTCCTCCACTTTAAGGTCATACCACTCGAAAACATATTCTAAGTTTTCAAACAACCACTCAACATCAACTTCTCTTTAACACAAAATCATTCTTATATGAAATTTTCAAATTCTTCCACTTATCTTTTACAAACCTTAGAAAGTGAACATTATCAAACTAGCAATAGTTTGTTTTGAAAGGTTTAGGACCCTAATCTCTGTAACAAACTTTCAACCAAATAGGGCAATGGTCTGATATATCTTTTTCCTCAATACTTTGGCCTTTTCCTCAATACTTTGGCCAATCATTCCCCAGGCTACTCATAGCTCTACCATTGCCACTGAACCAAGTAAAGATGATTTCCCACCTCTGGAAGATCAACCCACTCCATATCCTGGACAAAGGCAGAAAACACCCTAATCTCCAAGTTACTTGACTTCAATGAAACACTCTTCCTTTCAGCAAATTCTGTAATCGCGTTAAAGTCCCTCTACCAACCACGTATTGTCTTGCCATATCCTTTTGAGCTCTTTTAGCTTCACCCGCAACTTATGTTTTGATACTAGAGAGCAACTAGAATACACATTACACATTAGCTATCATTCTTCCACAATAATTTGATGCCAAGAAAACTTTCACAAGAAAAAGAAAACACATGAGTATATAATTTCTCATTCCACAAAGTTATAATTCCTCCAAAAAATCCTAACGATTTTCAAAAAAAACACCATATCTTTGAAGGTTCCAAAGAGCAGAGACAAATTTCTCGTCTACCTCCAACAACTTTGATTCTTGAATAAATAACATATAAGGATTACCTTATTTAATAAGACAATTAATCCTTCTACGTTTGGAAAAATTACCTCCCCCTCTGATATTGAGAGAGCCCGCTATCTTAACCCAACTGGATATTTCGCCTTCTTTCTAATGAATAATTTGTAATCTCTAGCTTCCAACTCCGATATTTTGCTGGAAAAACCCGCCTTACTGTCTTTGGCCATCCAGCCCCAGTTTAGAAACCACACTCCACACCTTTGCCCTAAGATTCGATTCCAAATTATTCACAAATTTAGAGTTACATAATCGCACATCTGAATCAGAAATTGAACCGCAACACAAAACATCTCTAGAAAATTTCATTGTTTTCCCCAATCTAGATTTAGAATGCGCAGAAGTAGAAAAACAATGATTCTTAGACTTCAACACTTCAAAATAAGAAGGCTGAGAGTATTGTTCAATCGGATCTTCAGACCTCAATAAGCCTGAGAAAACCTGACCCAAACTTATATTCTTGAGCTTAATCTTTGTTTTATTCTGAGGCCCACTAAAATCCAATAGCCTCTTCGGTTTTGTCTTCTTCTGCTTTATAACTTTCCCACCCTTTTTAAAAAACTCAAAAGCCAATTCCTTGGAATTATCTCTCTCTGACAACTTGGCATCTTCCAAAAGGTATGCATTTGTCCTTTCATCCTCTGCTGTTGGCACAACTTTTGCTGCAGACGCCACTTTAGCTCCTAAAATTGCCTCATCAAAATCTATAATCCTAAGAATAGGCTCCTTAACATTAACTAAACAATTTGTTTCCAACGATCTTTCTTGAACCAAGGCCTCCTTCTGAGATTGGATTAACGAGGGAGAAACATGTCCAGTCCGAGAAGAACTAAAACCCATGTTCAAACCGTTAGTCTTCAAAACTTTAATCGTCTTCAAATCTTCCTCCTCTTCCTCTTTTTTAAATCTTCTCTAAGAAATTTCCGATATCGAAGACAAAGAAACCACCTCCTTTCTCAACTCATGATTGTTAGCCGCAATTCGCAGAGGACCGTGGCTATCTTCCACCATCTTAATACTTAATACCACTCCATTAATCTGAACATTTAAGATTTCATTCAAAACAACTGCACAATATGTTCTAACCAAAATCCTCGTAACATCCATGTAGTCTTCTTTCAGAGTGTTTTCATCTACACAAACATAAGCACCCATCGTCTTGGCTAGGATTTCGAAGAAAGAAAAATTCCAAGCATGACATGGAATCCCGTAGCACCTAAGCCAAGTCATTCTACTTTTATCAACATCCTCCTCTCTCCGTTGTCTAATCTCCTTGAACCATTGTCGCCACCACGAATCAGCTTCCCTGATTAAGTATCTGATTTTACCTTCTTCACTCACTTCTAGCAGACAAAGGTTCGCCCCAAGCAGAGTGACCATAACCGAAAAATATCCCTTTAACTCAAAGCTATTTTGAATGTTGTATGTCATCCCCAGTTCGATGACAACCCTGATGAAATCCTTTTGAAATCTCCTAATGTCACAATCCTCCTTTCAAAAATTCAAGGCCGTAAGAACCTTACTTGGTCTTACCATCTGCTCACAATTGTTAACAACACCTCCAAATGATCTCTCCCCGACTCTTTGTTCAAAAATATCTTGTCTTCTGATATGATCATCCACCTTACTCATTGGATTGTCCCTTCTTCTATTAATCACTGATCATCTAAATTTCACCTTTGTTGATATCTCAAATCTCGGTATATTAGCATAAATCTTCACATTAATATTATTTAATTGGTACTCAATATTTAAGTTTGAGTTTTAGGAAAAAGGATTTATAGAAATCTCATAAGCACTATTTCTACTCTTTAGGTCTTGTAAATTCTATTTCCAAAGACAAAAATATTATTTATAGAAGTCTCAGAAGTAGTCATTCATTCAAGTGCCAAGTAAATTTATCGTCTAATGGTTGACCACATTTCTCTCGGTTGCAAATCTAAATAGACTTTTTTTGCTATTTGTTTATGAGAAATGGAGAAATCGCAATAACAACAATGGTATTATTGCACTCATCATTCTTAATGTCATCTAAAAGCATGTTCATTGTTTGGATTGATGGAAAGAGATGGAATGCAATGGAGTGAAGTGGAGTGGAGTTATGTTCCATTGTTTGGATTTACAAAAATTGAATGGAATGGAATGGAGTATAATGGAACACATTCAATCCAATACCACTATTTTGACCCATTTTTCATTCCCCCCAAATCGGGGTGTATCCAATGGAATAGAATCAATTAATAAAACAATTACAATTTTATCCTCCAAATTTTCACTTTTATTATTAACCGTTCATATTCGTTATTTCAATCAACGTGATATTTTTCTATTCATTCACTGCAACTTTTCTCCTTCACAGACCTTCTTCCTGCTTGCAAAGAATCTATCTTTCTTCTACCCTAACAAGGTACATCATATTTCTTCTCATTTTTTTATCTGTATTTATATGTGTGCTTTATTAAATTAAATATCTTGATTTATCTTCATGTTTATGTCTATTTTATTTTTCAGAAATTAGGTATAGTTACTAAAAACAAAACTTAAAATTATGATTTATGTTACTTTATAGTGTTTTGTTTGTTAAATTAACTTTTTATTAATAACAAAAGTAGAAATTAGATTTGTTGCAAAACTATTGTTCCTATTGCTTTTCACTACTATTCACGTTGATTGTATTCTTATTATGTATAGAGAAAAACAAAAATTAGTTACTGTTACATAAAATTGGTTAATAATATTATGTAGTATAATAGGAAAATAATTATTAGTAACATAAATTTTGATTTGCTATAAAGATTCTTAATTAATTTGGGATTGAAATTATATATTTGATTTGTTCTAAAAATTCTTAATCTATTTGTTCTGATTTTGATATGAGTTATTTATTTTTGTTATAAATATTTTAATTTGATTTATTTGTATATAGATTTATGATTAGAGTAAATTTTATTGTTTAATTTGTTATAGATGACTAACGAAGACATAAGAATCAAGTATATGAAATTGGTTCAAATGATGATTCTTCAAGTATCTATCATTATTGTTCTAATATGCTCGCTAAAAAATAAGTGTAGAAGATCCCAAATACCTTATAGAATCACAGATCAAAGAGAGAAAGTTAGAAATGAGTTGATGAAACATATTGTAGGAAGTGAGCGATGTTATGATATCATTCGTATGGGTCACAAAGCTTTCTTAAACTTGGGCACCTTATTACAAGTTCAAGGTGGACTTACACATACACGAAGAGCGTCTATCGATGAACAATTAGCAAAATTTCTTCATATAGTAGGACATAATGTTATAAATCGTGTGATGTTCTTCTTTTTTAGACACTCCGGTGAAACTGTTAGTCGTCATTTTCATAGACTGCTAGATGTTTTGATAGAGGTGGAGGGAAATTTTTTAAAACAACCTGATTGAACATAAGTGCCTCCGCAGATACTTAACAACCACAAATTCTACCAGTATTTTAAGGTAAACAAATTTGTTGTCTTATACAAATATTGATTAGTTTTCTTGTACACTTTTAATATATAAATTTAATGTCAGAACTATATTGGAGCAATTGATTGCACACATGTGCGTGTTAAAGTTTCAATAGAACTCACACCTAGATACTGTGGTAGAAAAGATTATCTCACACAAAGTGTGTTAGTTGCGTGCTCATTTGACTTGAAATTTACATATGTCCTGGTTAGATGGGAAGGAATTGCTTCTGACTCAAGAATAGTTAAGAGCGCGTTGGCACGTGTACACCCTCTTAAAGATCCATAAGATAATAAAAAGTAATAAAAAATATTTGTATAACTATTTAAATTAGCTAAACTAATGGACTGATTATTTTTTTAAGAAAAATATTATCTAGGTGATTCGAGATTTCCTTTAAAAGCATGTCTCATTACACCGTACAGGGGAGAACGATACCACTTACAAGAATACTCTAGAAATTCACCTCGAAACACTCATGAGTTATTCAACCATCGACATTCGTCATTATGAATGTCTATTGAATGTGCATTTGGAGTGTTGAAGAAAAGATTTCCAATTTTACAAACTGCAACAGAACCTACATTTGGTATTAAAACTCAAAATAAAATCATCCTTGCTTGTTGCATTTTACACAACTATTTGATGGGTGAAGACCCCAATCAAACTCTAATTGATGAGGTTCAAGATGAGCTTGCAAACGAAAGAGATGTTCAAAAGGGTCATCAAGATCATAAAGAAGAAAACAATGATATGATTAGCGGAGAGCTAATTAGAGATAGTGTTGCTGGTTCTATGTGGCTAGATTATTAAAATTATTCTTAATGATTTGTTACTCTTATGAATAATGTTTTGAAGAATTTTATTTGGATTTAATTTTTTATTTGTAATATGTGGAATGAATTTTAGTGTATGATGAACCTTTACATTTGAATTTGTGCAAAAGTTATTATAATTTTCATTGTGTTTTTTAATAATAGACATGGAAGTAAGTTTAAAGAGGCCGAGGAAACTCAAAAGTCTAGAAACATGCAATTGGACAACTGCTATGGATGAAGTTCTGCTTGATGCATATTTGCATCGACAAACATTGGGAAATAAAATTGTAATAGTATGACAACAAGCGCTATGGATAACATTCTTAAAGAATTGAAGACTCAATTTTCGGACAAACCCATTTTCAAAAAAAAAATAAAAGATCACATGAAACATATCAAAACAAAGTTCAATTCTTGTTATGACCTTTTTCATAATGGCTTGAGTGGGTTTGGATGGATTCAACAACAAATATGTGGATTGCCGAAGATGAAGTTTGGAACAAGCTAATTGAGGTATTATTTACTATGATTGTTTTATACACTTACCCGATTATTTTTATTTGAGTTCACTCATTAAAAACTTTTTAAGTGATGCATTGTTTCGTTTATTTTGGTGTAGGCAAAACCCGAAGCTACTGAATGGAAAAACAAGCCAATATTATTTTATTATAAATTGGCCAAACTTTATGGAAAAGATCGAGTAACAGGAGAGCGTGAAGGTACAACTGCTGAGATGAGAGCCAAAAAGGCTGCAAATGTTGAAAAAAGTCATGGCATAACCATTGAAGAAATATACCACTTAGCTGAAACCAATGAAGTTATTTTGGAGGGATTTGATGATGATGAACGTCATTCCAACAATTCTCCTACAAGTCCTTCTATTACCAATTCTCAAGATGTATCATTATTTAGGACTAAGAAGCGAGTAAATAAGGTTATTGAAGATGATACAAGCATGATTGAGATTTCCAAAACTTTCAAAAAAATGGTTGATGTGTTTGAAATGAATTCCATGGAGCTGGTCAAACAGAGTAAAAATGCTAATGGTGGAGATATTTGGGCTGAATTGGTCGAGATTGGGGTTGAACCAAGTTCTTTGCCTATTGTATACATGTACCTTGTTAAGAATGCCAATGCATTGAAAGCTTTTAATGAAATTCCAATCGATAAGCGGAAGGAAATGTTACATCTCATTGTTCCACACTATTCCTTTTGATAATGGTAACATATTTATTTATCACTTTTGAGTATTTTTTTTTTATCTTTAACGAATGAAATATTTGCGTAATTTATTTTATTTTATTTTTGCAGGTTTTGTGGAATGCTTAAAGAAGAGACTCATTATCTTTTATGGATCAATATTTGTCTTTTTTATTAGCAAGACTTGATATCATTATCTACTATAAACATATATTTATTATTTAATTTTAACAAAACTTGATTTTGTTTATGAATCACTATGAATACTCAGTATGGTGTTGATCAAAACTTGTGCACTTGTCTTTGCAATTTCAAGTTATAATAACCATGTTTCATTTATGAACATTTTAATTTATTACTGTATGTTTTAATTTCTTTCAAAAGTTAAGTTGATATTTCTTCTATGATTACTTATATATTATTTTAGTCTGAGAATGTTGGATCTATCAATATTGTAGAAAAGGGTAAAAATGAAATAAAAAAGTTATAATGTTTTCCGCTCCGTCCAATTCCCACACAGTGGAATGAGATATTAGTTTCGCTCCGTTGTAAAATATTCAAACTGTAAAATTAAGTTTATATTCCGTTCCTTTCCATTCCATTCCATCCTATTCTGTTCCGTTCCGCTCCGTTATTTTTAAATCATCCAAACATAGCTTAAGTCCGTTCAAATTTTGTGCCTTCACAGTTGATTCATAAGATGGACTCTTTTAAGTGATTTGTTTTAAAATCTAGACCGGTTGTTGACTCGGTCAATATATTGAGTCAATTTGATTAAAGTTCAAATCAATTTGTTAAATCTGACTTAAGTATTTTTTTAATGTATTTTATTATTTTGTTTTCATATTTTAGAATATTGATTATTTGATTTTGTATTTATTATTTAAATTAGTTGAAATTTATGTAAGAAATTTTTTTTAATTATTTTATTTAATTATTTTTAGTGTAGTTTGATTTTGTAAAAAATCAATATTTTTACTGAAAAAAATTGATTTCATTTAATTGATAGTGGTTTGACATGAAATCTCAAACCCAATTTGAATTTCGTTCATATTTTGGTTTTAATTATTCATCCTTTGGAGTGGGGAATAGAAATTATTTGAGGATTCGAGTATAGTCAATTCATGGTTTAACCGTTTGATCAGTTGGGTAGGTCTTGACTATAAAACATTGCTTAAAACATTTTACATGAATATGACACATTAACAGTTATTTGAATTCAGTGGGTCTCATGTTAAAGGTTTATGTTTGAAGCTCTTTGTGACCATTTCATGGACCAATGTTTGGATGTCTAGGATTTATCTTGGAAGTAAGTCTTTCCAAAGGTGTTCCTATCTTCACTACATCAAATCGGTAATTTGGTTTGGTTTGGGGTCGGTAGTCTCGATAGTGTGATCACTTCCATTATGTGATTACTAGCTAGTAAAGGGGATCATATGTTCTTTGTTTGTGTCCTTTTTAAGGGATCAAGAATTAATGTCTTTGTATGCATTATTAAAAAAATTGTACTTCTTTGGCTTTCCCTTTGGTTGTCCACAACCCACATATTCAAGATTTAGTATTAGCTAAGAGAGTTTAAGCTTTACCCTAGTTTCTTTGGCATTTTCTTTTATCGTGTCACCACATACGCATTTGAGGTTTAACGTCAACATAGAAGGTGTCAGCTTTACTTTGACATTATCAAAGTACCAACCAAATTTCATTGTGAAAATTTCATATATTTATTATATTATTATAACATATTACACGATAGAGACCCATACAAAATAAGTTAAGATATAAAAAGGAATTTTATAGTAATAGTGTTTGAACTCAGCAACACTTCTAATTCTTAGGATGAGAGTCCCATGAATGGTCTTAATTGTTTTTGCTCCTTTGCTTGTACTCATTCAGACCATGTATGAACATTCCCGATGATTCTAGTTTTCACTCCTAGACATTCTTTATGTCGGTGTCGACTCTATGAAGGACAAGATTGTCGAGGTGGAATTCTCTAGGATCTTCATGTTATATTTGGCTGCCATAATTGTTGACTAAGTAAACATAAGATGAAGGATCAATATTAAATAATAAGATGACGTAGAGAATTAGACTACAAAAGATAAAGTACATGAAAATTAAAGAGAAAAGTTAGAGATATCACTCCATGATTTATACTGGTTCGACCATAAACCACGCGACCTAATCTAGTCCCTAAGAATTTCCTTTGAGATTTTTAATAATAACTTTGAGCTTCTACACAGTTTAACTTAGAAATTCTTTACACCAAGCTTTTACATATATTCATCTTCCAACCTTTACATCACTTACAAAGTTACAAGAAGACTAATTTCTTAAATTACAATTACAACACAATATGATCAAAACAAACAAATCAAACAACTCTTAATTTAGGCCTTTTATTCTCTCAGCTCTACGATAAAGTCAAGTGTATAAAAATAGTCTATATGAAAGAGTGAGTGATAAAAAGCATAGTAAATTAGTTTTTTCATGCTTTGGAAGAGTTCACAAGACTCCTTTATATATGAGAAAAAATTGTCTCAAAAAAGAAATAATTCTTAGGCTTTGGTCACTCTCTAATCGATTAGCTAGTGGAACTAATCGATTAGATATAGCAAATAAGAGCACATTTAACTTAGATTCGCATCTTAATAGATTAAAAGGGTTTCTAATTGGTTAGGTGGAGAACGTCATAGAATTTGGCCACTGACGCAACCTAGACATCTCTTATAATAATAGCAATTACTTAACCTTAAAAATAACAAATAGTTAAACAAACTTGAAGCGTGTATGAACATTATCCTTAAGGATTTATCCACATCGTAAGCACAAATTTCCCACAAATATCTAAAGTTCACAAGGAAAATAAAATAGAAATCTTTTCTAGATTAACATCATGGATGTGATGAATCAAACTGGTGTAGCAAATTATATGATTCAGTCCTAAAATTATAGTATTTAATACACAATGAATTTGGTGTAGGAAGTTATATGAACCAAAGACACTTACCGTATGTTAGAGGTCTACTACTCACATAACACCCCACAGTTCTTGCTATTGATGTTGTAATGTGCTAATAGAAATTTTGCCAAGATCTCGTACAATAAATTTAACTTAGATAAGACATTAAACCATAAATAAACTAACATTATACTTATGCAATTTTAGTCTCCCATTTCTTTATGCTTAAAAAATTTGAGTATTCGAATCACTCTCATAGAGCTGTGATCTGCTGCATTTGACACTCATTTGCGTGACCAAATTAAATTTCATGACTTTGACCAAATGAACAACAACACAATGTGGCATATCAAATCAATAACAACTAGCAGCACAACATACACATATACGATACATTTACATAAAACAGGGATAAAACATTATTATCAACATAAAATCAATAACCATTACTATAAGATTCAAGTAATTTCAAATGAAAAGATAAATAAGATACATATTACAGAAATACATGAAACTGGAGAGTTAAATAAACAGGAAATTTAAAAATGCAAAGGATGAAATTTCTTGTGTTAAGATGTAAATTTTTAATGATCTACTTTAATGCAGAATGAATGAGATTAAATATGATTCAATGCGCACATAAAATGTAAAAAAAATATTAATATGGCATTTAAGAAGATATTAAATACAAAGATAGTCAATTAAAATGTATCAGGTAAAAAATTATGAGACAAACAGATATAACAAATCATACAGATTCAACAAACTCAGAGAGAATGAAAAAAATAAATGATATTTGAGATATCATACCAATAGTTGATTATTAGTTTGAAACTTACTACACAAGAAATTGTTGATTTATTAAAAAATTGCAGTAAAATTAAAATCATAGATAATTTATTATTTAAAGAAATATGGATCAAGGATCCTTAATTCTTTTTGAGTCTTATGGAAAGATTATGGGGACAACTAATTGATAAAAATATCAGCATGTTGAGCTTTAACGTCGACATATTCAAAAATTACATAATCTTTTTCGCCATGATCTTGAATAAAATGATGTCCAATTTTCATATGTTTAGTGCATGAATGTTAACCCGGCTTTTTGGTTAAACTAATAACGCTAGTGTTATCACATTTGATTGGAACACAACTTAGTTTTAAATCATAATGCAATAATTATTACTTTACTCAAAGAACATGTATACATCAATTACCAATAATTACATATTTTAACTCAGTGATAGAAAGTCCAATTGTATGTTGCTTCTTACTATGCCACAAGATCAGACAATTTCTAAAATTTTGATATGCACCACTAGTGCTCTTCATATCTGATTTGCACCCCGCAAAATAATAATCCGCGAAGTCTAGCAAACTAAATTTACTTCTATTAGGAAACCAAAGATCATGGTTTGAAGTACCATTTAGATATCTTAAAATACCTTTAATGGTGTCTTAAAGTGTGATTATCTATGAGAAACTTGAAATATAGCGCACTTACATACGGTAAACATGATGTAAGAACGACTTCTAGTTAAGTAAATCAAGATTCGTTTATACTTTAATATTTATTTATGTCGATCTCTTTTCTCATTTCATCTTTGTCAATAAGGAATTTGAAGTTATTTGAATTTGAGTTAGACAATATTTGTAAGGTTAAGGCATAATAGATTTGCATTTTAAGTTGGATGTGGGATAAGTGAAGTTTGGATGTAGCATAATACAAATTGATTTTGTTTAGTTTGGTTTACAAAATACTAATTGCAAACTAAACCAAATTGCGCGGTTTTGTTAGAAAATGGTTCAAACACATCCAAAACAAATATTGTTTTTTTGCTATTTCGATTTGGTTTGGTTTGATTTTGAACACCCGTAATAGTCTATGTAGATCTTACCACAATGATAGGCCTTCTGAGTTAAGAAAATTAAAAAGAGATTGTTCTTTTCATTCTCAAATGTCTTTCCTCACCACCGTGAAAAGTCACAAATGTCTCTAACATTCGAAGATGCATTTTTGGACGCACTTTTTTTAGACATCCTTCAAAACAAATTGGTTGGACACCATTTTATGCCAAAATTTAATCCGGAGATACATTTCTGTATGTATAAAAGGTGAGTTAGTGGGTGAATGCATCTCTGAACGCTTTTGTTTCATATTCTTATACCAGACCCTTCTGTATTCTTACTTCTTCATTTTCCAAAAAAAAACTCAAACAATACCATTTAAGCTCTCACGTCAATTCAAGCTTCTAGCCTTTGAACTCTTTCTCATCCTTTGTAGCATCTCATTCGTTTAAGCTTATTTTCCTCATCCATTTGATTTGGTAAAATTTTCAAAACTCTTTTTTTTATGTTTTGATTTATAGTTAGTTGTTTAAGTTACATTAATTTTTAACGTACATTAGATTGTAATGAAAACAAAATAGGTAGCCTACAAGGACATGCACTGACATTTATTTGGAGATTTTGGGCGTCAATGGCACTTCAACCATTGTTGAAAAAATCATAGCTTTGTCCAGAGATGCATCTCTGAATTTGTCTCAGGTTGAAATTTGGTTGAATTTGTGGATTTGTATTGACATTTTGTTTTTCTCTGTGTGTTTACAATGCATGTGCAATGGCTAAAAACAACTCTGACAAAATTAGGCTCGACCATCTCTCCCAAACCGCATTTGTACGACGTGAGAGGTCCACAGCCAGGACCACGGGGCCACGAGTCGATAATAACTCATTTGATGGTTCACAAGGCCGAGGTTCCTAATTGTATGCTTCTACTTCTTGTAGTTGCTTGCCTCTTGCTTTTACTTCACAGGTTCACGAGTTCTCAGATGATAAAACAACACTTGAAGCCCCTGTATCCCGGAAGAAATATGTTAGTGACGCCCCTTTAAAGAGGTATCTAGGAGGCGCCTTTTGACATCTCTTTACTTCATTTCTATGTAGAACATGCTGCTAGACATGTTTGGGAAGGAGTAGACCATGCTTATTTTCTTTTGCAATATATATATGTTTTAAACTAATTAAATTGCGACTAATGGTGGTAGTTTTTTTACGGGAGAGTCTGTGTTTGAAATCATCAAACCATTGCCAAAAGATATTGGAGTTGAAATTTCTCACTATTGATTGGTTCAGGGATGCTCTCTGTTATTCTTGTTTTTTCAGATTATGTATTGTTTTATACATAATGATAAGTCATTACATGCAGGCGGAATTTGCAGAGAAATGACATTCAGAGATGTCATCTTTCCACCTTCCTATAGGCGAGATAACAATCACCTAGATGACGTCTCATGCCTCCTGCATCTTTCCATTAGGGGAAATTACTAGGTCACAGAAGGATTCGTCGAGAGGAAGTCGTCGAGATGATGGTTGTCCATTTAAGGGCTAATCTATTTAAGGCCATAAATGAGGTAACTGACACAAGAGGTGTTTGTGCTAGATTTAGTTTTTTATAACAACTATATAACGACCACCTGTGGTGGTTGAGGATGCTAAAGGTGATGTTATGCAGGTTGAGTACCATCGGACTTGTGCATTGAGGTCTTACCTCTTTGGTTGACACATCCATTTTTGTGAGAAAATATGCAACCAATATCGATGTCATCTATCTTCAGTACTTTATCAAGCCACTCATATTGTATTTTGCAGTCATGTACTAGTTGACATTTTCTTCTGCCCATACGGGAGTCGCCGTGAGACGCATCCACTGAATTTCATTTTCTTATACTACAGATGGTTGTCATATGTGTCATCTCTCATGTATCCTTATTTGTCTGAGCGAGTGATACGCCAATTTGACTATTTGCAAATTATTCTGAGACCCAATACAAACGGAAGAAAAGGTAAGGGGTTAGACTTACTCAGTAGAATTTTGTTTGGTTGTATTATTTTGTATTTCCGGGAAAAATTATATATAATCGGTACATTTTGATACTTGTATGATTATTTCATAATTGTGTGTTGTTTGATTAGTTAATGTGTGTTATCTTATAATTCATAGCGTAAAATTACCTAAAATTTATGTGCAAAAAACTATCAAATTTAGTGAATAAAAATAAAACAATTTTGATCCAAGCATTGTATGTCATGGATTTTCAAAAATATTCTGAGACATAGAGACATCGTGACAGGCATGGAAGATTGGAACGATATGAAGGAGAAATACTTCGTTGGTAAAGTCTACCACTACCTCAAAATGGATGAACCTGATGTGGGTTGGAATCACATGTTATCTACTACTATTGTTAGACCAAGAGCTCTTTTCACCCTTTGGATGGCATGCCACCGTAGACTGGCGACAAAGGTGCGGCTCAAAACATTTGGATTTACTACAGATGACAAATGTAAATTCTGCAACAACGAAGAAACGATTGACCATCTATTTTTTCAATGTCCTCCGTTTCAAAGCTATTGGCAGGAAATTCTGGGGTGGGTGGGAATTCATCACACCCCCTGCGAGTGGCGTGAAGAGCTTCACTGGATTATAACTCAATGTAAGGGTAAGGACTGGCGGAAGGGTCTCCTGCGTAGCGCCATAGCGGAGACTATCTACAAAGTCTGGAAGTATCGTAACCACGCCGTTTTTGAAAATATTGTGCAGACCATGGAGATTAGAGATATAGTTATCTCTAACTTTGCTAACAGAGGTTGGGTAGACACTAGTATGAGACGTCATACAGCTAACCTTCTCATAGATTAATGGGATTTTTTTTATTATTTTGTGGGTGGGGTTCTTTTCTTATACCCTTGTATATTCTATCTTTTGAAGTTATATAAAGTTTCTTTATTTCAAAATAAATAAATAAATAAAACAATTAAGTATAAAGGATATTTCAAAGATGTATATCTGAATACACTCAAATAACATAGGATGTATCTCCAAACCATACTTTATAAAAATAAAGTGGATATCAGAAAAACAAAGATTTGTATAACTTTTAAGTGCATTCGAAAGGACAATTTCAAATTTCCAAAAGTGTGAAACGTAGGCCACCTAAAGGTGAATATAGCATTGTCAAAAAAATTATACTTGAAACCCTACAACTACTTAAGCTCCTAAATACTTTGAGTCATCAATTACTTTGAAAAACAAGTTTTCAAAAACTACCAGGATTTTTCAAAAACAAAACAATCCAATATTCTTTCTGAAACTAAAACATCCAGATCTTATAGGTTAGCGTCAACTCCCATACTCACTGCTTATCATTTTATAAGAAAAAAACATTTTTTAAACAAATTTTTACACATCAACTTTATTCCATTTGACCATTTTATCCTAAAAACTTCATCTTTTCCATCCAACATAAGTCTTTTTTTCCATTCAACATTCTTGAAGACGAGTCATAAACCATTTTATTCAAAAAAATCATATTTCAAAAACTCAAGACACTTGTACTTACATTCGCAATTCTTGAGTTCACCAAAAATGATCATCTTGAAATCATGAGTAACATTTAGTATGTGCAACTAACAGACCCAATCCCTTAAACTAATTTTGATCCATTTGAGTCAACTTCTTGCAATACTATTGTTAAATATGCAGAATAAAATTTCCAAAATTGGGAAGGATATTGCTTGGACAAGTGATGATAATTTTAAGAATAAAAATTGAATTGACAAATAGTACTCGAATGACAAATAGTCAAAAGCAACTAAATTAACTAAATTAAGGAAACAAAATTTGGTAAAGTTGATCTAAATGCTGCTAAGTCTGGGTAGGAAATAAAAATCCCAAGTCCAACAAAAGCATTTACAGTTTGCGACCAAAATGTATGTACACCTACAGTCTTAACTTAATCTTCTACAGTCTGGATCTCACCCATCATGATGCGGTTACTCACAACATTAAATCCCAAAACTAAAGGGCTAACCTTCTTCCCTTTTTTGCCTTTCTTCTTCCCACCTCCTTTGGAGGATCCTTCAGTTTGGTCCACGTCCTGTATATCTGCATTAGTTGAAGCCATGGGAGCAGCGCCAAGTCCGTTAACTTTCTTACCGTGCTTGCTCTGGAAAGCTATGTCCAACACATCCGATGGTAACATCTCCTTGTAATTGAGGAATTTGTCAATGAATTGATGGTCAGGATCAAACGATCCAAGATTTTCTTTTAGAAGCATCTCAGCTTCTGATCTGGATTGCTTCAAGCAAAATTCAAGGAAACTTGTATCTGCCACACTCACCAAAAAGAGTTGACACATTTAATTATGCATCAAGAATAACATGCTCTAAACCATAGATCTATTAGCTGTGGTAGGTTATGCAAATGATAATAATAAACAACATGCCATTATACTTGAACATTATGTATCATACCTCCGTAAATATTTGACTGTTAAATTATAAAATTAACGTGGCTTGACATACCTTTTGTCCCAATAAGCCTAACGCACTCATTCTCACACCAATCTTTGAAACCCATGGCCTCTGAAATTTACAGAACAAATTATGTATAAGTATTTTAGAGAATCATCGATTGATCCAGTTAACTGGACCAAACAAAAGGACTTAATTACATGGAACTAAGAAAGGGGGAGCAATGTGTCTTTTCTTACCAGAATGCTTAGTCATAGCATCTTTTTTCAGTTTCAGCACCGACTGAGAAGAGGCGGGTGATGATGATAGAGGTCGCTCAGTTGGCTTGCCACTTGCTGATTTCTGCCGGGTTAATAATCCTGGAGAGGTACCTTTCAATGGTACATTTTTTGATCCCCGGCTTCCCTGACTAGCCAGCTGAGGGAAATCGGTCCTGCTCACAAATAAAACACACAAATCAAACAAACTATCTATCTACATCAAAACTAACTACCAATGATTAACGATTAGCCATCTACACTTAAATTGGAGAGACAGAAGCCATACTGCTTTGTTTCTTGCTTAGATTGTTCAATTGGACCCCAAAACAAGTCATCATCCCCTTTATATTTTGATTGGTTGGAAGCATGTGAGTTTATCAGAAGTGGTGAGCCAGCTTTAGATGGAGAGGAAGCTGAGATTGGCCGAGAAGAAGCACTATTCCAATTAGCCTGGGCAGGCTGAGCTTTCTGAGGCGTAGGCACTGGAATTGCAGGCACAGCAAAAGAAGCCTTTTTCTCCTGCTCCTTCAGAATGTCCCTTAAAGAAGTTGGTTTAGGGACTCTACCAGAATCAGAAGACCATGCTGGAGAAGGAGATGGGATGGGTTGATCTCGCTCTCCTTTCCAAAGAACAAAATCTCCCAGAGAGGGTCCTGCTGGGATTGAAGGCAATGCTTCTTTTTCTTGCTGTGCAGATCGAGAACTTTTACCTTTTTCAATAGGGCTTGAAGATATGGGTACTTCAGCAGACACAGCAGAAACTGGGGCTTTAACTCCCGAACCCTTTTTTGCTGACTTCTTGCGGCTTCTTTTAGTATCTTTTGCCTCAATGAAGTTACTACCATTTATTGACTCTGATTGCACAGCAATATCATTCAAAGACAATGTGCTATCTGGAACCTCCGCATCTGTTTCATTAGATTTTTTCAAAACTTCTTCAGCTAATAGATCATGCAACTGACTTTTCTTGCTCTTCATATTCTGAGAAGTTTGAGAATTAACAGGATATTCTGTATTGTCTCCTTCGTGACTTTCACTAGATACCTTAACCAAGTCTGGATATGATACAACCCCAGCCCAGGGCGTTGCCAAACTCATGGAATTGACAGAAGCAGCAACATCAGTTACAAGTGTTTCTGTCTGTGCCTTTCTCTGTTCTTCCAGCTGAATTTCTAATAAAGACTTGGCCTTGACACTTGGAGCAGGTTTCCAAGCTCGTCCAGCAGGAACTTCGGCATTGTGAGTAGAAACAGAACCAACTGCCACAAAATCGCCTGAAAAGATTGTTTCAGTGATGCTTCTAGTAACACTGACATCGTGCTGACCAGCTGTCTCTAGTACAGCATTTTCTTCAATCTGACTAGCCTTACTTCTGGTTTTTTGCAGATGTGTTTCATGTGATCCACCGTTTGTTTCCCCCAACTCATTAAAATGTGGTATTTCAATTTCTGACTGCTTTGATGGCTGCAGAGTCGTGTTTTTTAGCAATCCCTTTGCTTGGTCAGAAGACTGAGGTTTGTTAGATTTTTGCTTCTTAGATTTCTTCTCGGTAGCCTTTTTGGGTTCATGTGTTTCAACATGCACTGCAGTGGAGCTGTCTATTTCAGCCAGACTAGCTGGGGGTAACTCAATCCCACTGGATCCTGTTGAAGATTTATCAACAGAAGGTGCATCATGTTGTAAATGTACAGAAGGCATAGATATTGCCGGTATGGCAACACCATCAGATCTTAAAGCGCTGTCCGGTACCTGCTTCAATGACTTAGAAGTATAGTCACAAACAGAATCCTGCACAATGTGGGATTCCTCTTTGGAGCTGTTCAGGTCATGCACAAGTGAACTCTCAACATAAGGAGCTGGAGGTTCTTTTTTATGACTTTCATTAATTTGTTCGGCGGGAGTGGGAGCCCAGTTATTCTGAGGAATAGTATCCCCAAATACCTGATGAGGCAGATGAGGCAGACGCACAGAAGACCCTTTAAGATGCAAATTCATAGAATCAGTACTAAGTTCATTATGCACACTAGGAATTGGTATCTGAGAGCTCATGGGAAAAGCATCTTGTGGGGTTTGAAGTTGAGAAGGATCAACACGCAAATTTCCCATTGGTAATGAACTTTGCAATTGTCCATAAGATGAATTGCCAAAGAGCTGGCTAGACTGCTGGTCCTGCAACATTTTGGAAAGCAGTTGTTGCTGTTGTTGCCGTAAGAACAGCTGTTGCTCCTCCTGCTTCTGCTGCTGCTTTAGCATAAGGATTTTATCTAACAGGGGCAGCTGCGGTGCTGAAGCAGCTGCTTGAGAATGTAACTGCAACAAGTATTGCTGTTGCAACAGGTTCATCATTTGTGGATCTTGAGCTAAACCAGAAGAAAGTAGCTTCTCTGCTGTCAAGGAACTAGCTGGGTTATCCCCAGCTAGAGCCAGTAAATTGCTTAAGGAGAGCTGATTTTGCAGTGTCGGCCTTTGCTGCTGAATTCCAAATGGCATTTGAGAGAAATTCTGATCATGAACTGAGTCAACTTTATTCTGAATGAGATCCAATCCACCTTGTATGGGATTATTTGGCCATCCAACAGCACCATTATTTATGCTTGCAGATGTTCTGTCAGATAACCCTTGGATTATCGACAATAACTCAGAATTTTGAGACTGAGATTGACGTGAATTGTCACTCACTGAAGACAAGAGCTTTGAATGCAGCGACGCCTCTGGGACATCTGATTTTGGAGCAAGGGATGCTGCATCCTGCCCCGGCCAATATGGATATGAATTCGGTAAGGACATCTGGCGTTCAAGCTCCATCCTCTTGGCAAGCAAGTAAATATTGTTACCATTATCTACTCCCGTTGGGCCCAGATTACCAGAATTATTTCCAGCAAACCCTTTAAAACCTGAAGAGCATATAAGGTAAATGTTGTCAAACCTTGTTTTCTCAACACGTCAGAAATACAGAGTTGCAGAAGAAAAAGAAAAATCATAATCACATGGAAAAAAAGTTTACATCTAAATAATCAAAAGAAAAGGAAATAAATAAATATAACAGGTAAGAACCTTCTGATAACGCAAGGTTGTTAATTGTAGGACCGCTTCTGTTACCAGACATGAGTGACTCCAAATACCTACTTTCAACTCCGGTACCAGAACCCTGTCGATGCCTAGAATCACTTTTCAACATCTCAACCTCACTCAAACCAGTGAGGGCATTTCCAAATGTAGTAGGATTTTGACGTCCAGTCATATCTGCCAGTTCATTTGGTTGTGGTGCAGAAAATCCTGGTGGTGGTCGGGCTTTAGCTCGTAAATGCGGCATGACATCACCAAGAGAAAACCATGGTGAGTCAACAGCTGAACTTTCCAGACGAACAGGCAAATCAATACCAAAATATCCAGCCTCAAACCATCCAATAATGTCAATTCCTTTAAATGGGCCTTGGATAAGACCCTTGGGATCTTTATACAAAAGGGATAACTCCTCTGGAGCAGTTGGAGGAACTCTTCTGGTTCCATGTTCACTTTCCAAAACACCAGATAGCTGCCTCTTAACAATGGGATCTTCACTGCTTGCGTGCCATTTACCTACTTCTTTGGACTCGGATACAAAACCCAACTTACTTTCCCATGAACTATGAGGATCTTTTGGCTGGTGTGAACTCACATCTGATTTCCTTAATCTAGCATCACTAGATGCATCCCTGCTATTGTGCAATAGAGCACTTGTATGTTCGCCTGCTGGCATTGCTCTCCATGCAGCACCAGGATGAGGAGAACTATTTCCTTCAAAGGATGAATCTCTATTACTGGACAATTCATCAGCCACTTTGTAAGAACCTCCATCTTCACTCTTATCTGTGCATAAAATATTTTAGAAATACTCAGAGTACACGTAGAAAAAGGAAATTACATTTATGAAATGCCAAAATAATTATAGCACACAAGCAAGGCTGAGTTTTATTAGATTTAGACACACAGATGAGATATGAAAGATCCAATATCAACATGATAGTATAGTAAGACATGAAGACATGGTGGACACGGGAGAAAGAAAGTGTGAGGGAAATTCATGAACTAATTTTGTTTGTGGGGTAAGGAAACTCATCAAACCTATTTATCTTTAAAATTGAGGTTTCCTTAATTTGCACTATGTTTATAAAACAAATGACACTTCCAAACTGAGAGAGATAACTTAGATATTGTTTGATGATATCAAAAGTACCCTAATTCCAAGGTTTTATCATCACCAGTTATGCCTTTATTTTTAACCATTTGGAGGACATCCGAAGGCTGAAGATACCTGAATTTTTTTTAATTAATTAGTTAGGAAGCTATAACTATGTCTACTCTAGAGCAATTCATATAAGCAATTTAACAGTCAAATGAACAACAAAAAAACCACAGTACAAATATGGCGTTGCAGCCTACAGAAGAAACGTAATGCATATAGCAGGTGTCGCAGCCTATAGAAGAAATGTAATTCATATAGCAGGTGTCGCAGCCTATAGAAGATGGCACACAATCTCCCATGTCATAATGCCATGGCGCTCCATGGCGACAATTCAACAACACTGAATCTTAGAAGCCAAAATCATAATCTCTGAAATTATCAATATAGCAAAACAAAACAATTCATTTCAGGCAGTGTTGTCAAATAGCTGCTATAGCCTATAAAATAGCAGAATTTGGACAAATCCCTATTATGTTATGATAGGCTATTTTGTTAAAAGTGTTTGCAAAAAGAGACTATAGGGGTGTGATAGCTGTATAGAAATGGCAGAATTTGAGCAGACAGCTATTTTCCACAATTGACAACACTAATTTCAGAAAGCTATTCAGCACCTGAAACTATCTATAAGTAATATATCCCAAGTGTACCTTGAAGAGGAGTGATTCCAGGCTTCATTCGTCTAGTCTGAGTAAAATCTGTTGAGCCCCTTCCTTCTTTGGCCACTTGAGGTGCACTACTACTAACTATTTCCCCTTTTTCAATGCCATTTAAGACAGTCTGTTCAAACAGAAAAGCAGTATATTAAGCCACAAGAAAAAACAAAGGCATCCAGTAAAATATAAACAAAGAGACTATGTACCAGTTCCTCAGAATTTGGTGTCGTAAGAGCAAGAGGCTCCAATGATTCATCGTGTGTAAGACTTGGAACCTGCACAAAATCATCAACAAGATTTCTGTTTCTACCCATATTAGTCACTCTGAATATATCAAGCAATTTTGTCCTGTTATATCTGAAAGGTTCTTCATGTTCACTTTCGACTTTGTCGAATGCAGTTCCAGTATATGTGCTATTCAAAGAGCTACCACCACGGCCTAGTCCAGGACTATAGACTGGCGGGGGTGTATTCTCCCCACGACCACGGCCATAAGAAAATATAGAGGCCTGTTTGTTTGGTGGTGTGCTTTGGGAATGAGGAGGCTCTACCCTTCCACGGCTTTGTGCGAAGTTAGGTCTCCATGGTCGAACTTGATCTCCTTCCTTCTCATCCTTCCCATGAGACAAACCTTTATCCAGATGTATATCACCGTCTTTTCCTGAGTCACTCCATTTTTCACGAAGACCTTCTGGCTCCTTCTCATTAGGACCCCAGCGTGTGTTCCACTTGCTCTCACGCCGCTGATCAAAGTTAGCTTCTCTGTTTCCTAAATCATTCCATCTATGAGTATCAGATGGAACACGACGTGTTTCTCCAAAATTCTTAGGAGCTGGATTTTCTCCCCATCGATCCACCTTTCGTGAATCACCTAGGTCTTTGTCCCCATCCCTCCAACGATCCTTACGGATGGAGGACTTCGTGTCTCTCTCAGTGTCTCTCTCTTCATCACGCCAACGATCACGACGTCCACTTTCTGAGTCAAACATGGATGGCCTAAAGACATCCTTTCTCTTCTGTGCATCTTCTCCATCACCAGATGTCTTAACAGTCTCTGAGCGGCTGCCATGTGATGAGTTTGAGATCGCATGATTTTCCTGAGTCGTAAGAGACATATAAGGAAGAGGAGAAGCTAAAAACATAGAATCAGTAATGAATTATTTTAGGAATGTTATGGCTGAACTCAAATCTTATTTACATAAAAACATTCCACAAAACTATAGACAAATAGTAAATACAAACCATAGGTCCTATTCCAGATTTACTCTCCCCTGGCTTTGGCAGAAGCCATTGTGGTGAAAGTGGGATAGGATTTTCGGAGCCTTGGACATCTACAAAAGGAAAAGAAATTCCAATTAATGAAAAAAAAATGTTAGAAGGTATTAAAAACTGCTTCAGCAAAAGAAAAAATGCATTCAAAGCATGTAAAACCAAAACCATAGCCTTTGACAATTGTAAAAGTTAGAAAAAAGGTATATCAGTCACTTAACTTTCACATGTAAAAACACCTTTCAGCATTGCCATAACATAACCAATTAATGGACCTATATTCTGTTCTAACATACCCTAAACCCAGTATCATATCAAGAAAACAGAGAAAAGGAACCATCGTAATTTTAAAAAGGCAAATGTTTATAAAATGTATGCATTGCTAGTTTCTAGCAGTAAGCAGCTGAAACCAACTGGTTGAATAGGATCAAGCCAATAGATGTTGATTATGTGTAAAGCATTAACACTTACACCGAGAAAAGACGGCTAATAACAATTAAAGATACACAAACAGGAGTTGATATATAAAAAGAAGCAGAAAACACATCGTCTCAATACCATGCAAGACATTTCATGGAAACTCCAACCAAATACTAGTAGCTACGTTTTACAAAAAAATAAAAAAAATTTGACCTTCAATAACAACACTACAATTGAGAAATCACCACAGTAATTAAAGCAGTTTCTTAAAGGTGTTCTTCTGTAATCCGAAAACAACACATAATCATTTGTGCTAAGAGACTGAAAGGTAGAGCCAACCCTACAATTAGTACCAAGATGACATTTTTAACAATATGTTGGCAAATAAACACGGTAAAAACTCAAAACCAAATCTTTTCAAATTCCGTCCATAAGAAACTAATATCCCAAAATACAATCTCAAGTTCTGAGCAGTGAAATCTTCGTAGCTCTTCAAAAATAAATAAATAAATAAGTCTAAAAACAGTGACACTCACTGCACTGAAAAGTATTAAACTTGAAAAACGCAGCACATACGAAAATAAATTGATTAAAAAACGAGAAAAAAACGGTACTTTACAATTCACATAGTATGAAACTCAGAAACAAAATGCAACGCGTAAAAAATACGGACAAACGTGACGAATTCATCAATGTCAATTACCGTATAAAAAATAAGAATCCAAAACCCTAAAAAAACACTGACAAAAGTGAACCGCATTTCGGTTATTATCAAACCAAAACCCTGAGTTTAAAGGGAGCTAAAGGAAGTGATAAATCAGAACGAAGACGAATAAGAAGAATAAGAAGAATAATTGAAAATAAAATTGGGAATGGTAAAACCTTTGGAGATCTGCAATGGAGTTGCAGCGTTAGCGTGAAAGCGAGTATCGGAAGTTGAGTTTTGAGCCATTGATGATGAACGAACGAGAGTGAACACTGAGCGAAAACACTGTTTGCAACGATGAAAGGGTGTGCGAGGGAGAACGTAGGTTAAGCCTGAAACACAATATAAAAGGGTAGTGTGCACGATAACACTGTGTAACCTCCTATGCGCACGTTAGCGGGGGCCTTTGTGATTCTCGGTGAGAAATCAACACACGCTTTAAGTAGACAGTGTATGGCACGTGATTAGATTTGGGTCACCGTGTTTTGCACGCGCGATGGGGGTGAAAATTAGAAGGATTTATTTTTGTGTTATTAGAATTTTCCCTCGTCTATAGATTTTAGTGGTGCTCCCTTTTCTAAGAGTACTTAACTTTGTTTTTGAGATGGGAAGATTCATCCATTATTTGGTGATTAAATTTATTGAACTCAAAATATATAAATCATTTATTTGTAAAGGAAACTATATTTCAAAATAACCGTTTTAAATCTAAAATAATCTGTCTTGAAATAATTTATTATTTATTTTTATATATATAATATTTTTGTTTTTAATTAATATTGATAACATAATCTCAATTTAGTATTTTCTGTTTTAAATCTAAAACTAAAGGTTAGTTTGTTATATATAATTGATCTCAAAACCGAATAAAAGAATAAAGTTGTGTTAGGCAATCGACATAAAATTTTGTTGAATCTCTATAAGAAGGATTAACTATGAAATAATGAGAATGTTAGGTCATTTTTTTTGGAAGTAACGTGTTGTATGGCTCAAGTACAGAGCCATCTCCAAATGTAACATAACCCTCAGAGCCATCTCCAAATGTAACATAACCAGTGGAATGAGGTTTGATATCCACCAATTTTTTTTACACCAGTCATGTGTCTAGAGCAGCCACTATCGAAATACCAATTCTCTCTAACAGATGCTCTTAGGTAGGTATGTGCTATCAACGCAACATTTTCACTCTTGGGACTCCACTTCTTCTTACATTTATCATCTTGTTTCTTCCTGGATTGAACATAATATTTTGGATACCCATGCAACTCATAGTAGTAAGGCTTTATGTGCCCAAGCTTACCACAACGATGACATTTCTAGTTCTGATTCTTCTTTCCTGAAGACTTCTTCTAATATCCTCGGTAATGTTGGGACATCTGGTTTAACTTCCTTTTATCCCGCCTTCTTTTAGGATGAGCAGAATTCGTAGTCTTCCTTTTTCCTTTATCATTATAACCAAGTCATTTACCATCTCTTGAGTTCCTTCCAGATTGAAGAATTTCATCTAGAATATTAGAATTATTATTCAACATTCTTATTGTCTTGATCATATTGTCAAATTTTGAGTTGACCAAAGTTACCTCATCCTCTAGGTCTGAGATAACCCTCAGATGCTTCAACCTTTCATCCTAGAGGCAAACAATCAGATTATGTTGATTTTCTCCTAGTTGACAAAGTTCTGAATTTCTGGTGCACAACTTCTTCCAGGATTTAACAAGTTCATCAAACGAGAGATCTTCAACATCTAATTCTTCATCACAGTTATACACTCCAGTAAGAGCAACAAAAATTTTGGCAGATCCTCCTTCACTACCTGAATCATCCTCAGACCAAGATGCATACCAATCATTCTTCTCTTTTTTTAGAAAGGTAGGACACTCAGATCTAACATGCCCGAAGCCTTCGCATTCAAAACATTAGACACCCTTCCATTTGTTCACATCCTTTTCAAATTTTGACCTCCTTCCAAAGTCCTTCCTTCAGTTGAAGATGGATGACTGAGTTTTGACATTTGGTCTATACAACCATCCACCCTTTTTAGAAGTTGACTGTACTATTTTCCAAGTACCATAAAGGATTTGGTCAATTCTTCATTAGTCATTGACTCACATTCATTTTGATTAGAAACCAAGGCAATACTTTTCTTCCTTACAGATTTCTCGTTAATTGTTGATTCAAAGGTTTGAAGGGATCCCATGAGTTCATCAACCTTTATGGCATTTAGGTCTCGAGCTTCCTCAATGGCAGTTACCTCCATGTCAAACCTTTTTTTGCAAAGATCTTAAGATCTTTTGGACCAACTTGGCTTCAGTAATCTTCTCTCCCAGATCACTTGATGAGTTAGCTATATCAAGAATGTTCATATGAAAGTCTTGAATGCTTTCATCCTTCCTCATCTTCAAGTTCTCAAACTTGGTTGTAAAAAGTTGAAGTCTTGATGATTTTACCTTAGAAGTTCCTTCATAAGTAGTCTTTGAGGTCTCTCATGCAACTTTTGCAATAGTGCAATTCTTTATTAATCTGAAGATACTTTTTTTTTCATTCCATTGAAGATGGCATTCAAGGCCTTTGAATTGCCTTGAGACAGCTTGTCATCTTCATCATCCCATTCCTTTTTTGGTTTGATAACATCAGTGACTTTGCCATCGGCACCCTTCACCTTTGGTGGATCCCACTCTTTGATAACAACTTTCCAGGCCTTAGCATTTGTCTTAAGAAAGGCCATCATGCGAACTTTCCAAAATTAGTAATTGAATCCATTGAGAACACGAGGTCTGTTCAATATGCTTCCTTCCTTGTCCATTGTACCAAAAAGTAATGTCTCTGAATCTCACCCATATACAAAGCACGATGCCTGCTCTGATACCAATTGAAATTTTGGTATACCATATCACGAAGATATCATAACAGGATATTGAGACACTCGACCTCTGCTTATTAATGACAAGAATAAGCACAATAGCAGAATGCAAAAAGTAAAGAAACATGCAGCAATTGTTAACCCAGTTTGGTGCAACTCACATACATCTGGGGGCTTTCAAGCTAGGAATGAAATCCACTAAATAGTATTAGTTCAAAGCTAAAATCTTCAGTTTACAACTTGTTACCTAATCCCTACCCATGCTACATTTCTACCAAAGAATCTCCAAGGTATGAGACTCTTCTCAATTCCTTTTCAATTACAACAATGACTGAACAATTACAACTTAATAAAACAGTCCAACTCAAGTATTCACATAATACACGAGAGGCTCACGAAGCACAAACCTTAAAAACTCATAAGACTCAATGTGATTTTTGATACCTAAACTAGTTTAAATCCATCCTATCTATACCCCTAAATAAGATTGGATATGTGCTTCAACACAACATCAATTTTACACCACAGAATTTGCAAAATATTCTCCTCAAGAATAGATTCTTCAATCCCAAGTTTCCTAAAAAGTATCCATACTTTAGAAAATGACACAACTCCAAATTCCACTAAAATATCTGATTCCTTAATTTGAGCGCCACCTAGGATACAAAATAAATCAATTATAATCTAAATTAAATCACCAGATTTAAAACAGAAATAACCCCTGTAACAGACATAGATGTCGAACCACACAATTAGGATATTTTGTCTGACATCTTGTTCTTCAAGCTCTTCAGCATGTTAGAACATCATGTACAACATGTTTAGTTAAGTTTGTTTTACCAAAATTAATGTCAATCAAAACCAAAAAGCCTTCAATAATAATAATAATATGTTATAATTTGTGGCTATTCGATTGCGTTAAATCCTTTAATAGATATATATTCTGCTCCATGATATTTTTTTAATAATTAATTATTGACATCCAAGTGGGAGATTGTTAGATTAATTATTTAATTAATTAAATATGGATTGACATAATTAATTATTAACTAATTATATTGTGGAGCGGAATATATATCTATTGAAGGATTTAACATAATCGAATAGACACACATTATAACATATTATTATTATTATTGTTATTATTATTATTATTATTATTATTATTATTATTATTATTATTATTATTATTATTATTATTATTATTATTATTATGTTACATATTAATTAAGGATAATTAGAATAGTGTACATTATAAGATTGTGGAGGATTGAAGAGACTGATGTTAGAGAGATTGAATATGAAAGGATTACTACCATAATTACTGTATAGGGTTTTTCGAGTATAGAGAGACACTTAAATAACTAAACGACTATGGAAAAATATCTCGCATTGGGGTTAACTGAATGATCCAACCAATCACAGTTCATTAAGTCACAAAACTCAATCAAACAATTCATCTATTTAGTGTTTAACAAGAATAGACCATAATATAATTAATTAAAATAATTAATTATGTCAATCCATATTTGATTAATTAAATAATTAATCTAACAATCTTCCACTTGGATGACAATAATTAATTATTAAAAAATATTAATTTTAATATTAAAATATCAATAATGGTCGAAACACTGATCAATAAAAAGAAGTAAATTTCAATGCTGCAGAAATTGTATCTGATAGTGAAGACAAATCATACATGTTAAAACTCACAACTTTATATAAAGAATTATGAATTTAGAGTAACATATTGTAAATAGTGGCTCAACCATATGAAAATGCTATTGATAAACTCCCACTAACCCAAAATATCATAAGACTTACTCATGTGTATAAGCCTATGATTAGTGATTATACTGACGAGTTTTAAATTATAGGTCATAGAATATCCACATAGGTCTAAGAATAGTAATTATATATAGAGATACCCTATTACGAGAGTAATTACATTTAATCATAAGTACATTCATAACACAGTATCATACTTGATAGGAATATTAATATTTACTTATACTTTTGTATTCATGACCTCAGTAGTTTGGATGTTGAAGATAGAATAACACAATATTATTACATGTTAAGGAATTATTGTATCTTTTCAATATCGACCTAAACATCAAGTTATGATGTTTTATGAGATTAAGAGAATAATATATAGCTCAGTATAAGACTTCTTAGAATTAATTTATACTTTGAAGTCCTTTTAGAATATGTCATATTTACAGTTCGACAAAAATATATGACACTATGAGAATAATAATTCAACGCTATAATTTGTGTTTATTCGATTACGTTAAATCCTTCAATAAAAAAGAAACAACACATAAGAGTTTCAAACACCACCCTAACTCACTTTCACACCATAATATAAATCAACTTTCCA